AAACTCCAGACTGCAGACTCCAGACTGCAAACTCCAGGCTCCAGAGTGCAAACTCCAGACTCCAAACTGCAGACTCCAGACTGCAGACTCCAGACTGCAGACTGCAGACTCCAGACTGCAGACTGCAAACTCCAGACTCCCGATGCAGACTCCAGACTCCAGACTGCCAACTCCAGAATCAAGACTGCAGACTCCAGGCTCCAGAATGCAAACTCCACAGACAGACTGCAGACTCCAGACTCCAGACTCCAGACTGCAGACTCCAGCAGACTCCAGGCTGCAGACTCCAGACTGCAGACTCCAGACTGCAGACTCCAGACTGCAGACTCCTGACTCCAGAATCCAGACTCCTGACTCCAGAATTCACAGTCCAGACCCCAGAATCCAGCATCCAGACAGCCCCGCCCCAAAGCCCGGAAAGGCCGGTGCAGTTTTTTCGAACTTAACAAAACTTAACTTAACTTAACCTGGGCGGGTCGTGTGGAGCCGTGGAGTCCCTATTGTAACTCAATCAACTTAACTGCCAAACTTTCCCCGTGAGGCCCAGTTGCGTCACCACGACTTAACATAACTTAACTTGGCCCCGTGGCCGAATTCCACCACAAAATGATCAGGATCCTGGAGCCAGGAGTCATTGTGTCTGGAATCTGGAATCTCGAGTCTGCAGTCTGGATTCTGGAGTTGGCAGTCTGGACTCTGCAGTCTGGAGTCTGCAGTCTGGAGTCTGCAGTTTGCAGTCTGGAGTCTGGAGTTTGCAGTCTGGAGTCTGCAGTTTGGAGGCAGTCTGCAGTCTGGAGTGTGGAGTTTGCAGTCAGCAGTCTGGATTCTGGAGCCTTGATTGAGTCTTGCAGCCTTTCACCCGCGCACTCACAATCCAAACATGCAAAAAATCGCAAGGTGCCATCAGACCACCGCTTCAAGTGCCATCTCGAAATAAAATCACGCCGAACAATTCCTGGGCGGACCAGCCGCCAGCGGACAACCGCTTCAAGTGCCATCTCGAAATGAAAATGAACGTGGCAAAAAAAGCTTGGCGGACCGGCCGCCAGCGGAACCACCGCTACAATGATATATCATCAAACGAGAAAAGCAAAATGGGCGGACCGGCCGCCGGCGGAGAAAGCACCCCATGCGACTATATGAAGGCGGACCGGCCGCCAGCGGAGACACCGCTATAGAAACGATTATTGGACAACAAAATTGAACCGAGTCAATCACTGCAAAAAATGCTCCGGCTCCATCGAGCCAAGCGTGCGAAGCAGCGCGAACAAACAGCGTAAACTGCATGCGCGATGGCTCACTGCGCGGTCCTGCCGCGATGGCTCACTGCGCGGTCCTGCCGCGATGGTCGCTGCGCGGTCCTGCCGCGATGGTCGTTGCGCGGTCCTGCCGCGATGGTCGCTGCGCGGTCCTGCCGCGATGGTCGCGCGGTCCTGCCGCGATGGTCCTCCTGCCGCGATGGTCGCTGCGCGGTCCTGCCGCGATGGCTCGCGCGGTCCTGCCGCGATGTCCTGCGCGGTCCTGATGGCGATGGCTCGCGCGGTCCTGCCGCGACTGCGCGGTCCTGCCGCGATGGTCGCTGCGCGGTCCTGCCGCGATGTGTTTTCCAAACATGGAAGCGGCCCCGCCGCCGCTACGCCGTGTTCCGCCCTGCGCGGTCTAGCCGGGAGCGACCGTACGTCTCGAAAAATGATGCGCGCGCGCGTAGTCCGGTGTCAGGCTTTCTCTCTCGTTCAGCGATGTGGTCCGCAACATGTCAGGGGTAGCGCACGCGTGCTTTTTCGCACGCAGGCAGACACGTAGACTCAGCGAGGTAGACGCGTTTGGGACATTGCTTCGCAAGCGCTGAATGACCGAAGGCTGTTTTCCTCAAATGGTGCTAAAAAGCTAAGTCCCAGCTAAGTTCATTCTAAGTCCCGGCACCCGGAACTTAGCTCGAACTTATAAGTGGGCCTATCTAAGTTAAACATAGACAAGTAACTTATAACTATCCTCGGACTTAGCAAACTTATAAGACAAGTAACTTATAACTATCCTCGGACTTAGCAAACTTATAAGTCCACTTGTCCCACGTTATAAGTCCACTTGTAGTAACTTATAACTCAAGTTAGAAGTACGACCCTATCCCAGTACCTGTTGGCCACAGTATGACGGGAGCGCGACATGGAATGCATCGGAATTTGAAGTGCAATCCGAACCATGGTGAGCACTTCAAGGATGAGGTCCAACTGAGGTAAATGCTGAATTGACTCATACTCATCCATTGGAACCGATGGTGGTAGAAGTCCAGGAAAACAGTACTGCCAACACGCAAAGGAAAAACGTCAATGAGTCCAGAAAGGTAGCCAAGGAATGCCATTGTGCAACGTCCTCAAAGATCCCACTGTGCCGAAGTTCAGTCCACATGATGAATATTCAACCAAGGATAGCTTGCAAGGTGGCGGCGACATGCATTCAAGAGACAATAAGTGACAAGCAACTCACAAGGCAAGAAGAGACA